GTGAAGCTATGATGTGTAGTAACCATGTTTTAAATAATGTGGTGAATATGACAACCAGTGAATTGCCATTCACTAGGTGGCATGGCAGGTAACCAGATTTGAGTTACCTACATACATTCGGAGCCCCAGCATGGGTGCATATTCCCTCACAAGTAAGACTACCTGGGTATCGATAATTACATCGTCAGTTGGTTCTAATTTATTCCACCCCATGTGTTCTGTAAACTTAGCACTAGTGCTACAGTGAACCTTAGTTGTGCTCTTCTCCCAAAATCTTAATGATCTATGGTTGGCCTCGTAACCTACGAAAAATAACTGTCGAGCTCTATGTTGCCCTTTCAGTCTTACTTGTGAGGGAATATGCACCCATGCTGGGGCTCCGAATGTATGTATGTAGGTAACTTAAATCTGGTTTTCTGCCATGCCACCTAGTGAATGGCAATTCACTGGTTGTCATATTCACCACATTATTTAAAACATGGTTACTACACATCATAGCTTCACCCCACGGGGTTTCCGGCAAACCTGAATCGATTATCATAGTTCGAGCCATGGCCTGTAATGTTTGCCCCCTTTGTTCTACAAAGGAGTTATGTTGTGGCCTATAAGGAGCAGAACATTTGTGCTCGATACCAGCTGATCTTAACATCGTTTGATGTATCCTCTTCAAATTCTCCCAACATCTTGCAGCAGAATTTTCCCCACGAATGTGTACTAATTGTTGGTCATTCAGTGTTAGATCAATTATACACAACGCCCCTTCGTTGCATCGCTGAAAATCTGCTATCTTCTTGGCATCATCATCAAGCAGTTACATTCAGTGGATTCTGTACAGCATCTGATAAACCTTCCCTACACAGGAGTAGACTGCATTTCATAGACCAGGAAACATAGTTTGTTCCATCCAACTGGATTATCACCAATAGGCTTGATGATGGGTCACTCGCCATCTTCTCCAGGATAGTGCAATCACTAAATAAACAGCTGTCTGTATGCTGTATTGCTTATCAACACCAACTCTCCTTTAGCTATGTCTGGTACACTTTGGGCCCATAACCCGTTGGGAGAGCGAGTACATTCACAGAAGTGTTGTTAGAGTTGTGTTGGAGAACACACAAACCAGCATTCAGAGACACTGCAGTTTAAGTAGGCTTTTACTTTCGTGGAAATAGAGGTATCAGAATCCATCAAACAGTTCAAGTCATACACAGTTAAGACAGTCAGTCATCAGTGTCTTTCAGTTACGGGATAATCCAAATAACATAGTCCAGTATCATATAATCAATTCAGAACTCAAAGTTTGCTAGCAGTTGCAAAACTTACAATAGCTCAGGCACTCAGATCAGATCAGCCCAGCCTCTAACGAACAGAGAGATAGCTAACAGTCCTTCTGGCTCCCTCTTATGGCCGATTGAGGAAAATAGCAACCAATCACATTTTACAGTATGCTTTAAAGAAACAGGTACAACATTGTAACATGATTTATATATTGCCAACCTAACTGTTAGATTATATTCTTAACAGCTCCCAAAGACTGAAAGTATCAAGGCCTAATGGGGCAAATAGACAGCATAGTCTACAATAGTTTATTTTTTTTCTGGATAAAATCAGCAATAGCCAGTGGGAAGAGATTTGGCATTTTGTAATAGGAAAATGCTGGTGTCAGGATGCCCTCTGCATCCATGATTTTGTCCTTGAAGATTGTTCCTTTTTCTTTTGCTTCCCAAATTGCTGCTGCTCAGTTGGAGCTGCTGTGCCTTCAAAACACATTACTTTGTTATGCTGTTACCCAAAGAAAAATAAGAGAAGGGAAGAGAGACATAAGAATCCATAATACCATGTTCTCTTATATTAAATGGTTTTGTATAGTATTTTTCCATCCTCTGGCATGTACAGCTTGCTGTTTGACAAGGTGAAAATCTAAGATTGGTATTCAGGGACATCAATTCACCTCCAGCTGCCCTTATATTATCACGAAGGAACAGCCTTTCCAAACAGCAGGTCAAAGGCATTTTTTAGAAAGACATGGAAGGAACAGCCTTTTCACACAGCAGGTCAAAGGCAGTTTTTAGAAAAGCATGGAAGAGGCCCACTGCCAGAAACAACATTGGATAAATATTCATTGTTGGGTATTTGCATCCTTCCATAAGCTACTTAGGCTGCAATGTTCAAAAGTCTATTTCTGAAACGGCTTCACAAAGCTTGCCTTTATTTTGAAACAGTAATATTATTCGTGCATTGTACAAAGTCTGTGGAAAGATATAAACAATGCAGAAATAGTAAGTCCTGTCTGCTTTATCTGTACTTACCATAGCCAGATTACTATTTGAACATTGAATGACAGTTGTGTGTCTTTGATGTGTGTTGATAATCTATAGTAATGTTTCTTTCTCAGACTGATGCCCTCCAGATTTTTTTTTTCATATACATCCATTTTTGTCTGGCATAGATAGAAGGTTATATGTTATTGCCAATTGAGGTTCTCAGCATGGATTCAGTCTTGCTGTTTACTGCAGCCAGATTTGCAGGCCATTCTGTGCCATGATTTCTTTTCCCTATGGTATGCTGAGTAAGTCACAAATTTTCTTGGATTAATGCAATGTGTGAGTTCAGACTGTTTTACAATCTTGGAGTCGTCTTGGTTGCCATCTTTTATATCAGTGTTTGCCAACTTGCTGCTCTCTGTGTCTGTTGGACCACAAATTCCATAATTTGATTCATGGCTACACTGATTTGGAATTAAAGAGTTTCTTAGGGTAATTGGATAGATAATAGCTGGATAATACTAATTGGAAATTACAGAGAATACAGTTCAACTTGTAGAATGCACCGGGTTGGCAAGGGTAGTTTTTGTAAATTTGTGTGTGTATTTTTGTATATGCAAAGACATAAGTGAAGAGAAACTAATTCTAAGAGTTCATGATAAGGATGTAGGTGGAGACCGTTACCTTGCTGAACTAATTGGTTTTTCTGATGCAAATTACAGTCCTATTGCCACTAGCACTTCAAGTGCTATGATAGCAGTGGTCTGTAGATATTATAAAAACCGAGACAGCTTGCTGTTGCATGGTTTCCATTTATTTACTCTAAATATTTTCCCTCTTTTTTTCCTTACAGACTTTTAATCATATTAGTCTGTTTCAGTGTCTGTTTTGAGCTTCACTGGCTGTGCCACCACCTTCAGCTATGTACCATCTGCTGCTAGTCTCAATATCCACTGAATTATATGCACAGTGGGAGAGATGAGGGCAGTGTGCTAGGTTTCAACCACTGGACTGGGCATATGTGGGATTTCGCAGAATACTTTTCTGATTAAGGCTTGGGGGCATGCCATAAATATCCTGAGAAAATGAGAATCTCAATTTCAAAGGGTTCCGACCACATGGCATGCTCAGCTTGTAAAAGTGGAAGGATGTTCTGAAAAGCGAAAATCACAGAAATTAAATAACTGGCCAGGCCCTCAAACACTCAAAAGCCATGTGTTTCTATATCTATTTCTTTTTACATCCTCTGCACCTTTGACCTTAACTGCTTGCCTGGATGTTGTAAATCCATCTTTACTGCCTTCTCTTTTATAATACTGCAGTTATACATTTTATTTACTTGTTTGTTTCTTCAAATCTATGGCCACCCATCTCAGTCAATGACTGGATAGCTTATAATTCTGAAAAGATGTAGTGAATAATTAAAAAACATTAAAACAGTAAAAAAAATAAAAATATCAAATTCAACATACTCAAGAGTAAGATATTTGAACATATAGATATCTTACTACTATACATGCATGTACTGTATATGTATAGATATTGAACTATAGGTAAATATAAATATTGTATGTAGAGTCAGTGTAGTATAGGGGTTATGGTATTGAAGGAGAGGAGAGGAAAAAACTAGGTTATACTTGTGATTTCTTCCATTAGACACAGATTGGTGGGCCAATCACTCTGTCCTAGAGAGTAGGAGACCTAGACTGAGAGGTTAGAAAGCTTCAATCTCTCATACCTGTATTGATAGATTAAATTGCTACTGAAGGTAATTTCAGAGGAGAGTCCATCATCCTGCAATGAATTAAGCTTGCCTAGTGATTAAAATTAGATATAAAATCTGTGAGATGCAGGTTGGTTTTTTCACAAGACCTGCAAGGACTGTTATTAAACGTATGAGAAGAAAATATATGAGTGAAAAAGCTGCCCATAGGCAGTTGTTTGGTTTAAGAATTTTATTATAGATTGCTCATGGTATTTCCTACCCTGAACATTTACTGTATTCTATTCTTAGGGGTTTCTTTTCCAGAAGTATTTTGTAGAAGGTTTGAATTCATGGGTGCTCCAATTTCTTTCTTTGTTCATCTCTTTCAACAGATCTATGATGAGAAGAAGAATTTATTTGAAGTAAGAGACAACATCCCTGAAAAAATCGTGGAGAAAGTGGCAGGGGACATTGAGAGTCTCCTGGCCAAGAAAGTCCAAGCTTTAAAGGTAACATGGTTCCTGAGTTTCGGTGTATCTGATGAAACAGGCAGGAGGCAAGCAATCAAATTGGTACCTATGATGATGTTCTGGTATCTCCAGGAATTGATTGATACTTTATTACAAGGTTTCACAGAACGTTTCTTAGAAACGGATAATGTTAAACAAAGTGCTTGCACAGCTCTTCCAAATATTTTCTCCTTGGCATCTCTCACATATACAATTAAATATGGTGTGAAATGTTTCTGGTTAGCCTTTCTTCTATAAGCAGCCTAAACTGTCTCAGGCTCCAGCCTACTTTTCAACTCTTCAACTGAAAGGCTCCTTTGGAAGGATAGTTTTGCAAAATGTGAGTGTATAATGGGGGAATGAAGCAGAGAATAATAGCAATTGTCTGCAGTTAAATCTGGGCTTTCAAGTATGTTTTCAACCCAACTTTTCATTTTATATAATTTCCTTCCTTGTGTATACAGTGCCAGAGTGGATCAGCATGCTTAAATCTCTAATATTAGATGGACCTGACTTTTCCCGTGACAACGTTCAATATGTACAGTTTCTGTTTTATCTTCTCTGCTTAGATATCACATTGAGGATTCTCAGTTAGTAAATTGCTTTTATATGTGCATATTTTTGCATAGTTTAATTGCCCCAACATTATCAGATATTAAATTGTTTGTTATTATGACCTGTTTGTGATTTCCAAGAAACCTTGGAGCCATAGTAGTTCATAATGCCAAAAAATAGAATAGCAATAATAATAATGATATATATTAAAGCAGTAATAATACATATTAAAGCAATAATAATATATATCAATTTTGGTAAACCTATATTTATTTCAAAGGCACATCAACTTTTCAATCCATAAAACGAGTAGCAAAACAGAGCATGACAGTTTCAGAATGTAGATTAAAATCAGTCAGATCCTTTAGAAAGATAAGAAAAAAACAATACAATAAAGTGCATAAAGATTAAAGTAGAATTATGCAAAATTGCAATCAGCTTCAGTCATCTTGGCAATTGGCGTTTTCAAAGCTCAGCAGTAGTTCAGGTCGCATCACTCCCTCCTCTCTTTTAACTAGGTCAGTCTTTCTACATGCTACCTTCTTTCCCAAGTAATTTAAAGAGACAATCATATATAAATTTCCTTGAAGAATAAACTCTGTAAAGTCAGTGTGACTCAGTTTCTCAGTATACACGCATGGGAGCAAGTCTTGGCTACTACTGGTACCTTCACACATCATCTGTGTTCAAGGCCAGATGCTAAATTATGAGAGATGGAGAGATTATGTGCTACGATCTGATCCTGCCCCATCCCAGAATTAGGAGTAAAGTGTAATGCTTCAAATCTTGCAAACCCCAAGGCTGTAAGATTTGCACCAGCCACCTAGAATGAATGTACACCCTACTACTGTACATTTTTAGTGCACAACATTCTGAGGGCTTTGATTGGTGGTTGTCCTAGCTGAAGATTCAGCTCTGCTCAACGTCATTCCACATGAAAAGCCCCAGCGTACAAAACAGTCTGCTTACTTTAATGTTTTCTTTTTTTTATTTCTCACTGTACCAAGGACCAATTAAATTTGTTTTTAATATCCTTGAATTTATGGGTTGATTCTTTTACTTAATGACTGCTGGATGGGAACAGAAAGGTTAGAGCATTGTGTCTTCTGGCTGCCACCTAGTGGTCATCCAGATTTTTGCTGAGATGCACATACTGAAAAACTGGAATTTAAGGGTCCACTGTGAGGATTAGTGTGAGAATTGTAAACTATCCCAAGAATGTAATATGAAGAGAGAAGGCAAGGAACTTGTGCTTTCTTAGGAGCAGCAACTGCTGGGGAAGGAATTCCCAATTACACAGGAAAGAGCACAGCAAATGCCCAACTTTTTCAAATTACATTTCAACTACATGTGTTAAGTCATGTATAGGATGGGCATTGTCAAAAGTTTTATACCCTCTAGATCCAACAGTTGATCCATACATTTAAAAAGGAAAAGGAACTGCAAAGTTACAGATTCCCTTGAAGCCAAAAGAAGGGTATGGGTAGGTAAAGAAATCAGGGACCAGAGTGAAGAGACTGAATTCATAGGAAACCACTTGGAGTAAGAAGATTGCTGATATGGCATATATTGTTTTCCTTGAATGCATATTAATATGTTCTACATTGCACATAGTCCCTTCTGGCAGAATATTAAGGAAAATATTACCTCAGAGTATGTTGCAGTGCCTTAGAATGTCCCTGGACCAACTCAACTACTGGTAGAGGAATGCAGATTTGGGGATCATTAGTAGGCCATCCTCAGGCCAAGAAAAGAAAGATGTGGTGATGTTCTCCATAGTAGATTTGTCTCATAAATTGTACTCACATTTTTCTTTGTATCCACATGTTAACCTTTTAAGAACATTTCAAAGAAAGGCAATGCCCACTATATTACTACCCTGTTTTCCTGAAAATAAGACCTCCCGGGATGATAAGCCCAATCAGGCTTTTGAGAGCATGCGCTAAAATAAGCCCTCCCTGAAAATATAGCAACACAGCAGCAGCCATGAGGTGACCACTTCAAAAATAATAAGACCTACCCAAAAATAAGGCCAAATCTTTATTTTGGGGGTCAAAAGAAAATAAGACCTTGTCTTATTTTTGCGGAAACACAGTATTAATCCTAGCCAAACTTTTAGTCATATGTATGCAGTTTGCATAATAGATATGACATTGTACAATACCAGAACCAATTCCATCCCATCCAGCAGAAATCCATAAAGAGTATGATCCTCCAGTGTTTGTTCTGCAGCATATATCCTATGGTAAATAAAAGTTTACTTGTGTATTTTGAAACATGGGTTTTACCTCTTAGTCCTTCTCCAAATGGATCCTAGTCCCACCACTTTTGGAGTGTGGCCCTCGGCATGCCTCACAAGGCTTGGCACATGACTTGAACTCTGCATATCTCCATCCCACCACGAATGTGGCATTTCCAACCCCCCACTCCTCCCATTTTCTGCTCCACATTGAAAATAGTGTTTTTCAGTATTCAGGGTTGCTTTATGGTTTGCCTGCTGAGCTTTCTTTAAGTGCTGTGCTCTGAACAGTGTGCAAAGACAGGAACACCTTCTTATCTGGGTCATCTGGTCATCACTCTGTAGCAGCCTAATCTTGGCTGCAGCTACTCTTACCACAGCGTTTTAGTAGCATAGTGGTCATGGCAGTTGCTCCTCCTCCTCCTTGCAAGTATGTTAGGGACCAAATAATAAATTAAAACAATTATGCTGGATTTCAAAGATGTAATGTTTTGCACATTAAGCAAATGCTATAATCATTTCCCGCTGAGAGGTTCTTTTGTCCGTGGGAGTCTAATTTAACTTTGTATGCATATATTTTGTTGCATGAGTATAGATGTAAAAATGTATAACTATATATCCAGGAAGATTTTCCCACAGAACAGATTGGCAGTTGGGTTTCCCTATAAGGAAAGTTGGAACTGGGGAGTTGCCCAGCTGGGGGCATGCTAGCTGGCAATCTAGTCTGAACATCTGGCAAATTGCTGCCAAATCCCTCAAACCAGACAGAATTTTCTTAAAGCAGTTTAGAAGTCAGCTGGCATCAGCATGGAACTGCTTTAAGGATGCAGTACTGTAACAGTGTAAGCCTATGGTTCTTTCTTCCGCTATATTAGAAGTTCTTCTGTTTGACTACACAGCAGATTGCCCACTATAATTGACATTCACTTTTGTTTTGGTTTCTTTTGTATTTACAACAGGGTATATATGAAGACCTCAAATTTATTTTTTTTCTTCTTTATACTGTAATTGAGTCATTGAGAGACTTTTCCTTTTATTCGCAATAAAAGAAAAGTTGTGAGTTGTGATTTCTTTTTCATGTACATATGAATTGGGATAATGAGGATGAGTTAATGGAAATGAATGAGATGAACATAATACTCATGACCCCAGTGCATTTCATTGTATTTATTCTAGACAGCCTTACCTTTCCTCTCTGTGATATTCCTGTAAGAATTGGAGGATTAATTTACTAAAGGAAGTTTTATACTGAGTCAGCAGTGACTGAAATACATTCATGCTGATTTAAGATTTTATTCATTTATCAAACTTGTATCCCTCCCATCTTGCCAAAGATGATTCTAGACAGCTTACAGATATTGAATAAAAGGCATATTAAAACATTAAAACAATAAAAGTCATAAATTCCTTGCTGGGCACAACAGCATGTCCTTTCACCTGGCATGGGTGGAGTGGGCTAATCCATCAGGTTGAACCAGTTTTTCAGGTAGACTGAGCCCATGCCATGAAGAGCTTTAAAGGTGATAACCAGCACCTTGAATTGGACCTGGGAGCAAACTGACAACCAGTGCAGCTCGTGGAACAACAGTATAACACGGCCTACCCTAAGGGCCCCAAGAACTGCCTGCACAGCTGCATTCTACACCAACTCAAGTTCTGGATACCCTTCAAGGGTAGCCCTGTGTAGAGTGCATTGTCCAAGCATGAGATGACCAGGACTTGAATGAGTGCAGGGACTCCCAATCTAGAAAGCGTGCAACTGGCACACGACATGAAGTTGTGCAAAGGCTCTCCTAACATTGACTGCAACTTCATCAAGCAGGAGACACAAGTCCAGGAGAACATCAGATCACACACGGGTCTATCTGGGCTAGTACAGCCACATCCAAAGAAGAAGAAATCCTAGAACCAGAAGCTTTTATTTATTCATATCTTGCTTTTCAGAGCAAAATATCAACAAAAGTAAATTAAATATCTGTGAGCTGTTTGATGAGAACGTTAATGCTTATTATCTCTTGGCATTCCTGAAAAAAACAAAAGAAATATTGACTGAGCAATATTGATAGGATATAAGTGGTTTTAGTTGAACTTGTAAGAATCTACAGTGATTGTGTAATCCTTACATATTCATCCAGAATGAAGACCTAGTTCCATGATGGTGAATGGCACATGTGCCACAGGTGTGCCCTCTCTTCAGGCATAAGAGCCATCACCTCAGCTCAGCTATTTTGTGCAGGTGCAAGCATCTCCCACAGGCCAGCTGGTTTTTGAGTCTTTGCCACACATGCACAGAGGTGGGGCACATGCAGGAGATGTGCACACATGCGCAGGGGCACAGAAGGGGGCAGGGGGAGCACAGGGGGTTGCCTGTGCATTGCATTAAGGATGTGCACGCACACTTTTGGCACATGGCAACGAAAAGGTTAACCATCACTGACCTAGTTTGTTCAGTGTACAGTGGCTTCTGACTAAAGGATTGTATTCCATGGATTGGAAATAAATTGCACAAGAAGAAATTGGGTAGGGAGTTGATATTCTGAGATAAAGTATGTATTGATGTCAATATAACCTGTCTCCAATATTTTAATATTTCTGCCAGTTATTCTGGGTCACAGAGTATTTTCCATGTCTTTAAAATGCTGCATTGTTCTACATTCTTTTGATGCTACAGTTGAAGTATGTAATTTTCCTATGGAAACCTGAATCAAGATAATTTACCTTAAGTTGATATTTGTATTTTGCAATTTCTTTTGTACAATAATATAGCAGTTGGGCAGTATGAAATTG